CAGGCTGCTTTACAAATCTGTTGCACAGTTGAACGAGACCTGAACTCAAACAGAACTCAAAAAAAAAAAAAAAAAACACACACCACCATTACCAGAGACAACAAATACCCACCCACGTTGGAATAAAAATGCCTTTTTGGACACGTATTCATCTGAACTTTCAACAAATCTAACCCTAAAACACTTCAATGGAAACCAAGGGACGGCTACTGATTAGCAGTGGTCGGAGTCCAATGACACAACAAAGGATACAACCTTCATACAGTACTCTGCGGGATCACCACTTGCTCATCAGTAGAACCTCAGCCACAGAAACCATTTCTCCAAACAAGTTCCTATTATTTTTTTTATACATACATATGGCCGTGGCTTGTCGGAATAAGTCGAAAGAAGCAGAAAAGCACAACAGCAGAGCAGCGGGGGTTAAACAGCCTCCCAACACACCTGCAGGCAGCAGATATTCAATCAGTGCATTAACCTAGTTTTATAACTGCGGGCTCCTCCGCGCCACATCTCATGTCCGCTCAGCAGCTGCACGCTGCCCTGGATTACCGCTGCCAATCTCTGACAGCAATCAGCAAATCAGAACACTCGGGGAAAAAAAAAATCCACTTCTGAAAAAAAATGCATCTTATAAATACATATTTATAGCGCTGATAAGAATATCCAAACTCTCCATTGTCAGAGGAATATTCTTAATCTTACGCCACCTCTAGGCAAATATTAAAAAAAACCAAAACATATATATATATATATATATATATATATATATCACACACATATATATTATTCAGTGTTTATATAGCGCCAAAATGTTTGCTCAGCGCTGTACAATATATATATATATATATATATTTTATTTATTTTTTTTAATATTGATTTTTTTTTCTATATATATTTGTCTTAATGGATTCTTACATAAAATTCTCATAAGTGCCTGAATCTGTCCTGATCTCTTTTTAAACTTTGCTGTCTCCTATCAGCATGTTCCTTATAAGCACATGTGCACTGCAGCACATCTGATTAGCTCCTGGTTTCCCTTCCTGCTGTGCAGATGAGAAAAGGGAGGGGAAGCTGTAGGAGCCAATCAGGTGTGCTGCAGTGCACGCGCTCATAGGGAACATGCTGATAGGAGGAGATAGAGAGTTTAAGGGCTCGTTCACACTTGACTTATTTCTAACTCTTGCAAAATGCCCCTAAAGCGTTTGACAGGCGGTAGACATTATTTAAACTCCCAAATGCCTTATGCGCCGTTTTGAAGCATTTTATAGGCGTTTGCCAAGCACCACAAACACCTATAATGAAGTTAAATGGTACTAACGCTCCGCAAACGCCTCCCAGGCGTTTGAGGAGCGGCACCATAGACTTGAATGGGAGGCTTCAACTCTTCCTGACTGAACATGAGGCGTCAGTTTTGCCGCGAAGCGACCACAGTGTGAACAGCACTGTGTGCTGCCATGTGCGGAATTTTCATAGGCTTTTCAGAAGTGTTAAAAATGCTTCCCAAAGCCTGTCTGACGCCTGCCGACAAAGCTAGTGTGAACGTAGCCTAAAAGTCCTTAAAAGGTTTTTTGTTTTTTTTTGGTGGAGTGAAGTGTTAAAACCTGTGTCCCTTTGTAGATATTTTTGCCCCACTTCCAGTCCCAGTAACAAGGGAACCCAGAGGGGGGATGTAGGCAACCACAAAAACCTGACAAAGGCTCTAACCCTCCCCCACTCCAAAGAAGCCAATAAAGTATGCAATTTTCTTTCCTTCCACCATGGGTGGAAAATTTGATGGATTCCCCACAGTCAGGGTTGATGGGAGAACCTCTCCTGCAGCGCTACTGTGTTCTGTCAGCAGGGGGAGTAGGGAGCCTTCCAACAGAACACAATGATCACTGCTGGTGGCTAGAGCCGACGGCAACAATTGCATGAAAAAAAATCCGACAGGAGTTGATTGATGGATCGACTTCTGTACACACATCCTACCCAAAGATAGATCGAATCACAACCTGCAGAACCAGCCAAGATTCGATCCGTTTATGGCCAGCTTAAGGCACCATTTACACGCATCTGTTGATTTAACGCATGTTGCTCAATGTGTATTATAGAGGACAGCTATTGTTTGATATGGGACCCCATTCACACCTATAAACTGTGCTGTCATGCAATTTTTTTTCTTTTTTGGGGGGGGGGGGGGGGTTGCCTGTACACACTATATGAGGTGACCTGCATAATTCTGCACAGAACACAAGTCAAAGCTGGGGCACACAGAAAACAATCATTTTCTATGTGCCCCGTCCTCACTAAAACGCTGCGGAAAAATGTAGAAATACTACTTTTTTTTCAAAGTGCATCAAGTGACACTGCAGGTCCCTGCAACCTAGTGCAGCTGTAGTGTAGACACCTGGAATGTAACTTCATACATGCTCAATAAAGTTACAAAACAGAAAAAAAAAAAATATATAAACAGTGCATCACACCACCTATCTCCATGCAGCAAACCAAACACCAGCCTGCAAGCTAAAAGGACCCATTGATCTCAACAGACAAGTTTGACAGGCAGTGCTTTTTTTTACCGGGGTTCCTCAAGGTTTCTTCAGGGGTGCTTTGGCAAAATGCTTAAAAATTTGTGGTGAACCGAAATGAAACTTCTGGTGCCGAAACTTCAAAAATGCACTTGGCCAAAAACCGAAATGCGCAGTTTTTAAAAATGAATATATATTTTTTGTAAAAAAAATACACAGATTAAAAAAAAAAAAAAAAAAAAAAAAAAAAAAAATATATACCCCAATTGTTTTGTAAAATATGAAAGAGGATGTTACGGCGAGTAAATAGATACCCAACATGACATGCTTTAAAACTGTGCACGCTCATGAATGACGTGAAACTGCAGTACTTAAAAATCTCCATGGGTGATGCTTTAAAAATGTCTACAGGTCAGCAGTGTAAAGTTACAGAGGACGGGGCACTTAAACTTTTTTTTTATTTATTTATTTAATGTTTTGGGTTTTTTTTTTTTTTTTTTTTGCACTGTCCCCTTAAAAAAAAATTGATCACTTTTATTCTTATCACACAAAAAAAATACATGCATCCCTTGTGATAGAAATAATTAGTGACATGTCCTCTTTAAGGGGTCAATAAGACCCCACATCTCTTCTCTGCAATGTAAAGCATTGGATTAAAAAAAAAAAAAAACATTGATCTAGTGTTAAAAAAAAAAAAAAAAAATGTCTGGAACGGGAAGTGACATCACTCCGATCCTCCAAGGGCATAGAGATGCGTGGTGGCCATCTTTCCTTCACTCATCTCTATGCCCAGCGCAGGGATCGATGGTTTCTCAGGTAAGGCTGAGAACTACCGAGTGGCGGCAGCGGCGGTGGCGAGGGGTGGGGTTTTTTCGGCACCTGTATCTGTGCTTTTTTTCTTTTCAGCCGAAACATTTCAGCCACCGAACTTTCGGTGCATCCGTACTTAAAATTGCCAAAAAAAATAGTATGCAAGCCAGTGAGTGGATCAAGCCTGCCTTTTTGTTGTTTTTGTTCGTCAAAAGGTGTTCGTTGTGCATTATTACAACCTTCTAGCCGCCAGCGTCCTAACAACCAATGACATCATCAGTTGATAAGGAACGCCTCTTGGGTGCCTGCATGGCATCCTTGTTTGCCCCTCCCCTGCCCATCTCCATCAACACTGGGGTCACAGTAGCTGAGTGAGGGAGAAGAGAAACATTGGCATACTAGTCAGTGCCAGTGTGCAAAGGTGTATTTGCTTTGGAAGAATAAATCTCCTCTAACATTGGGTGTCCTACATGTGTGGGTGTTGCTGCATTATGTAAAGTTATTTGTTTTTCTACATTTCAAAATGGGGTGCCTCAAGATTGTGCAAAAATGTAAGGGGTGTCTGGACTGAACAAAGGTTGAGAAACACTGCTTTACAGCACACGTTAAAATGTTGCGGCATGTGACAAGCCCTGTTGGGACTGGCAGCCGGGGGAGGCGTAAAAATGCAGCTCAGCCATCTGTTTTTTTACCGCCCACTTGAAAGAGCCCCATTAGAGTGGGAAAACTATTTTCTCCCCGATTACCAGCCTGAGCATTAAACTTCATAAAAACGCAGCACGGAATATCAGATCCGACCGAAAACTTCTGCGCATGTTTCTGTTTCCAATTTTGACTTTTTGAGGTCAGGAAAGTAATTGACGTACGCCGTCATTACCATCTATTGTGCGTTTACAGAAAGCCAGCATTATGTAGCGGTGAACGCTTGTATAAAACAATTCCTGCAATCCCCACTAATCTCCAAGTAAACAAAAGTTCCTTTTCAAGCCCACGGTACACGCAGACCTGTAGGAGTCTAGAAAATATCTTGACGTGACAACCCGTGCATTCACACAGTACAGCGACAGTACCACCGCCACCCACAACAAATCTTTATTCCTACATGGAAAGTGCCTAAGGCAAACCTCAAACCGCTCCACCAAAAAGCAGACAATACTTTGGTTTTTGGAGCGTTTGTTGAATCGCAATGTTGCACTTGAATGCCTTTACAAATACACAAGAAGAAACTTTCGGGAACAGGAAAGGAGAGTTTAGACAAGTTTGATGAATTATATAAACTGTGTGTTCTGGAATCAGCTTGTTTGTGCAGCACAATAAACAAACATTCAATGATTTAAAAACAATATCACGGGTTTTTTTTTATATTTACCTATAGAAACATATGGGAATGGGCTTAGCTGCTCAATTTATAGCAAAACTCCAGGTAGACAGATACAAATTTTAAATATATACAGGAGAGCTGTCTTACCTGCTAAAGGATTTGTATTTTTGTCCATCCAGGCCTGAGATTGGCACAGCCCTGTGACCTGACTTTCTTTTCCTGATAAGACAGACTGAACACGTAGCCATTCTGCACATGCTCAGCTCAGTTTAATGTGTATTGCTAGAGAGGTTTCTTTTTTTTTCTTGGAAGAGTGCATGTGATCAGCACAGGGCCAATCAGCACTGTCCAAACAGAGGTCAGGGGTTTTGCAGCCTCCTAGAGCAGAAAGAAAACTCCACCTACAAGCTTTAGCCAGTACTCAGCTGGACACTGAGAGAAGCCACAAGACTGCTCTAACTCCTGATGAGAAAAGGAATTTAGCAGTTTACATTTACTAAAATAATTGCATTTCCATGTTGTGTGTACTGTGGGAGACCAGATATAGTGAATGCAGGGTCCTGGGTTTAGTAAAAGTTTAAAAATGGTAAGCCAATGGGCTAATGAAGGGGGAAAAAAAAAAAAAAAAAGCATAGATTCTCCCCTTCTCCAACTAAAAAATAAAAAAAAATAGATCCCCCCCCACCCACATACATAACTAAAAAATAACATTAAAAAAAGGATGTTCCTTTTTGTTGCATAAATATGAAATATGCAAAATTCATATTTTTTTATTCAGCATTTCCACACAAAACATGTTGGGCCGAATGTTCATTGTAACTTGATTTCCAGTCTATACAGCTGAAAAAGTCTTGTGTACAGGGCTCAGTAGCTCAAGCATGAGAACAAGCGCACACTCACACCTACCTGAATGAGGCTGAGCAGTAATGTCTGTTCCAAACCTTACCTCTCCCTCAGTTTTTGATCTCTGTTCCCTCTCCCTCTTTCCTCCCTTCTCTTCCTCTTCATTCTTCTTTCCACCCCCCAAATTGAGTGAAATTGTCAATATGTCCCTTCGACAGAAGTGGATCACACAATTTCAGTTACGTGTCCAGGGCAACAGATTGATCGAAATTTGGCATGTCCCTGCTGAAACATTGTATGACCAGCGTTGGTAATCTCTCTGCTCTCTCATCCTATCTAATGTGCTTCTATGGCTATTTTAGTGATTTTTATAGCATACATATCTAGAATGATGGTCATGTATTGTTTTGGAAAGTAGGTTTCTCTCCTATTCATATGTTAATGAACTGGTTGGACTGGTTCATAAGGTCTTGACAGGAAGTGAAGCTATAGGAAGTAGGGAGAGCGAAAAGAATTTAAACACAGCCATGTGCTGAACAAAGGAAGCACTACTAGTAGTTTTTCAGGACTCAGAGAAGCAAGGAGGAATCTGGAAGAAGACTCCATCACAAGTACTGTAGCTGCTTAGTGCAAGTGCATACATTTGTCCATGCTCATCTGCTAGGAAGGATAGATTGCATGTGCATATACATGCATATTTTGTAATACTCTGTACAGTATGTCGTGTACGGTTTTCCTACAATTGTGCTTAGTTTGCATGAGTACAGCATTTATGTTTAGTAAAGCAAACATTAATACACTACAGAAGTTTTTATGCTTCCTTCCTTTTACCGCAAAGAACCTCAAAAGACGCAAAGCAAAACATCCAACTACAGGAAATGTTGCTGCATCGAGGGCAGACATAACACTGTGCATACATTGCTCATATATTGTTCAAATTTCAAGCAGTTTCTAAAGAACCGGCTAAAATTTGGCTAGTGGGTGACCATGTTGGCGCCCCCTCCTACCCAACAGGGCAAAACGTTTTTGGCTAAGAAAGAAAAAGCTAATTCTAATGTGACAATATAACTTCCAAAATGATGTCAGGCTTTCATTATCCACAGTATTCTCCTGTTCAGTTATGTGAACAAATATAAAACTTTGTCCCAAATTACATCACCAATCTTGACTCCAAATATCACCCAAGCCGCACTCTCCGCTCCTCCCATGACCTCCTGCTCTCTAGCTCCCTTGTCTCCTCCTCCTATGCTCTTCTCCAAGACTTCTCCGGGGCATCCCTCATCCTCTGGAACTCTCTACCCCAATTTATCAGACTATCATCTACTCTGCTCACTTTTAGGCGATCTCTTCAGGGAAGCCTATCCTGCCCTCAGCTAATAATGGAATCTTCTACTCCTCCTACCAGTCCCTCCCCCACAGTTACTACCCTTTGTACCACTAGCCCCTCCCTCTTAGATTGTAAGCTCCAAGAAGCAGGGCCCTCCTAACCCTCTTGTATTGAACTGTATTGTTGCTGTATTGTCTCCCTTTATATTGTAAAGCGCTGAGCAAACTGTTGGCGCTATAAAAATCCTGTATATAATAATAATAATTTTACAATAAATCAGTCATCAGATTCTCAGTTGCAGATACTTGTATCCTGAGGCTGCCATGAGCTGCACTGTGCACAACTTGCAGTTCTAATTATCTCAGGGTGGTGGCGCTGTGTATTTAGCTGTCTGGCTGGCGTACCATAAATAATTGCATGCTGAAGAATGCACACAGAATGTTTTACAGGTAGAAAAATTGCAGTGGGTTTAAATCGGGCACAAAGAAAACACCAGGCAGTGTTTGTTTACGCACAATTATCAATAAGTGCATACAGAACAGCGATCATCACAAAACGCCCTATAAACGTACAGCATAGTCGATACAATAACGAATTTGTCATTTGAAACAATATAGCGGTTCAGAATGATATTTCCCATCCTCCTCCTCTTCTTCGAGCCATTTAGCAAACAATCATGGTTAATGTGTATCAAATATCAGCGAGCTGATAATTAGCATTTAACCAATGTCGCCGGGAAAAGACGGCGGATTACGTTCATGAAGTGCCAATAAATTTGGGATTTTCTGCATAATGTTCACAGGCTGTTCTGGGTGACTGGCCTCCACCTAGCAGGGGGAATGCAAAGGAATTGAATACGCTTGACTGCCACAAAGCAAGGATCTTTCAATTACACTCGCTGGGGTCCGTGTCTCAAGCAGAGTGTATTAATACCATACACAGCCATTCAATTATTTAACATCCTGCATTCTACCGACTGCAGACACGGAAAGCAAGCCAAACATTAGAGAGGATTCAAATTCAGACTAGGCAAGCTTAGAGAGAAGAAGACTGGATGGAATAATGGGGGAGGGGAGATAAACCACAAACAACCCGCCTTCTGTAATGTATGCCTATACATACCCTCTTGGCTACAATACATTGACTTGGGGTACAGCTTGTGCTGGAGCAGAGAACTGCACCACAAGACTGCTGACAGGTATACACTGAAAGATAACCAAAGATGGACTTATGCCCTGTACACACGATAAGAAAATCATATGAAAAATGTTGCCCAACCACTGATCGAACGATTTTCTCTTTGTTGAAGAGCAAGATGTTTTAACCGATAATGATATTGTGAACAAAAAAATCCGGTTGAACAACAGTGAAAAATTTTGTTGTTTCGCATACAAACGGCCGATTTTCTATGCGGTTGTATGACGGTCGTACGGAAAAAATCTATCAAGCGCTATCACGCATGAGCGGAAACAGAAGATGACTCGGATATTTATGTTCAAGAAATCTTCGTAAAAACACAAACGAAAAGTCCAAATGTTAAAAGTAGATTGGCCTAATGCAGTGGTTCTCAACCTGTGGGTCGCGACCCCTTTGAGGGTCGAATGACCCTTTCACAGGGGTCGCCTAAGACCATTGGAAAACATATATTTCCGATGTGTAATGAGCAGCTACTGTGTAGAAAGCAGCTACTGTGTTGAAAGCAGCTACTGTGTTGAAAGCAGCTACTGTGTAGAAAGAAAGCAGCTACTGTGTTGAAAGCAACTACTGTGTAGAAAGCAACTACTGTGTTGAAAGCAGCAGTATTGGAGGTAAAACGACACTTCACGAATTATAATTACTGGGTAAATAATTTTATGGTTGGGGGTCACCACAACATGAGGAACTGTATCAAAGGGTCGCGGCATTAGGAAGGTTGAGAACCACTGGTCTAATGAGATAATGTAACCAGAATTCTGCATATTATATTTTATGTATCACTATTCATGTATATAATGTAAAACTATATTATAGTCATTGCTGGTAATTGTTGTGTATATCGCTCGTTCTGGCCGGAAGGGCGTGGCTACAAGGTCACACGCACACCGCATCACTTCCACTTGTACGGAAGACGTCAACACTACGTATTGCCAGATGAAAGAATTTTTGTAGATTGGTTAATGTGGGCCACGATTTCGACCAACGAACGAACGCCTCTCAGTCGTCGGATAACCGATTGGCCGATTTTCTAATCGTGTATTCCCACCTTTAGCCATACACAGCTTGATTTTCTCTGGTTTTGCCTGAACGAAAGAAAACCAGTTGATTCCCCCTTTCACCCTAAACATTGTGGATGGAGGGATCTCCACTGCCAGCTATTGTATACAGACATCTACAGCACCCATGACTGTCTCAATACAGTTGATGACCGGTAGAGATGAACTTGGGTGTCCTTCAAATTCATCCCTAAGCCAAACGCCCATTATTATTTACTCTAATGAGTTGTGGGCCAAGTCATTCTGCACCTGCTGTGTCCATGAGCTGAGGTGGTTGAAAATGACTCGGTCCATGGCTTGTTGGTGCACATAAAAGCTTGAGTTCAGGTTAGAGAGAAGTTCGAAGGATGCCCAAGCTCACTCGTCCTCATCCACTGTACTGAGGCAGCCATAAGTGCTGTGAATGTCTGTATACAAAAGACAGCAGTCAAGACTCCTCCATCCACAATGTTTAGGATGAATGGGGGAACAGTTTGGTTTTCTCTCGTTCAACCAGCAGGATTTCGGAGTTGAGGTCAAAGATGAGAAGGGAGGAAGCCCAAACTCTTCTCTACTGACACAATGTAGTTAATGTTTGGACCATAATTTTTCATTTTACATGGCTCAGTAGATTTTTAAATCAACCTCTATGGAGCTGGTTGGTGTTTCCACAGCCATCCATGGTTTGAATTTTCACCCATTCAGCAGCTTGATGAAATTTGAGATGTCTCTGGCCAGCTTAAGGTGGAATATGGTCCTAGGCATGCCAGAAGCTCTGCCTTCCCCTACTGAAATTTACATGGTTTACAACAGGCAGCTCTATGACAAAGCTCCGGTGGATGGAATGAAAGGTGTCAGTGGGGTAGCCAGCGGAGCAGTGTTGGCACACACATTCACATGGATCAGGGTAGGCAAGAGGCATCCTAAACTACTTTTACCAGCACTTCTGGATGTGTGAGCGCCAGTACACCGTACTCTTGTCTGGAGTGGCACTACTAAGTCTGACAGGCACAAATAAGTTGCCCCATTTATATTGTCTGTACCAGTATAGCCCTGTAAGGCACCAACTGCCTACAGGTACGTCCTCCATTGCCAAATGGCAACTGCACTATTTTCTGGATTAATGAATGCAGGAAGGTTGTAGCTGGGCCCTCAACATTCACTGGGTCTTGTAGATCTGGCTCTGAAGACTATGCATGTAATAAGTTACTTTCCCACATTTGCCTTCTTAAGCCCCATTTACACTTGTGCGCAAAAGTACCTTTGTTTTGTCTTTGTGTAGGCCACCAAGCCCGAAACAACTGTATGGATGTTGGAATACATGGCTCTATAATACTAGGCTGTATACCAAAGGTTCACCACAAGTGGCCCATGGGCAAAGAGGAAAGATTATCCTAAAAAGGAGGAATGGATTCAGGACTAAAAAAAGAGACATGGAGATACCTTCTGATAACCGAAAAAATAAACTTTAAATTCACAAAAGGTTAAAAATCTGGTAAACATTTTTTACTGTATGTTATTCTTTCAGGTTTCAATATTCATTTTTGGGGTAAGTTAATCCTCCAAAAGGACTGCACAAGTTTTTATTTAACCAGCTCCTGGATGATGTTAATTCTTAGGTTCTATGAGGGATCTTTGATGGGGACAGACCTAAAGTAAGCTCATTTAAACACCACAGAACTGCAGGTGGCTGGTTGTACCTATGACATGGACATCAATTATGAATAACAACCAATTGGTCCTAGTGACACGCAATGCCATATACTTTGCATTGTGCCTTAACACACCTGATTGGTTTGAAAGGAAACATATGTTCCCAAAAACAGAAAAAAGTGAATGTAGTCTTAATATCTGTGGCTTAGTGGTTAGCACTTCTGCCTATGGCGGAACAATAAATGGCTCCTGTCTAAATTGGTCCTAGTACAGTATGTGTATGCATGTTAGATTGTAAGCTCATTGCAGGCAGGAACAAATGTGAATGTACAATTTGTAAAGCACTCCATAAATTAAAGTGTTACTAAATCCACAACAGTATAAAATCAGTCTGTATATGCAGTAAATCATGCTTGTTATACTCACTGAGGAACCTAAGGGGTTAATCCTCTGCAATGTGTAAAAATGCTGTTTGATTCTGTCTTCTCTGAACCTCCCCTTCTTTCAGTACCCCCCTCTTATCTCCTGATAAGACATATCGTGTGGAGTCACTCTGCACATGCTCAGTTTGGTGTGTATTGCTAGAAAGTTTTTTTTTTTTTTTCCCTGGGAGAGCATATGTGATTAGCACAGGACCAATCAGCTGTGTCCAGACAGAGGTCAGGGGTCCTGCATCCTCCTAGGGCAGAATTAAAACTCCTCCTACAAGCTTTAACTAGTTCTTAGCTAGACACTGATAGAAGTCACAAGACTGCTCTAACTGCTGATTATAACAGGTATTTAGCAGTTTATATTTACTGAAATAATTGCCCTTCCATGTTCTGTGTACTGTGGGAGACCAGATATAGTGAATGCAAGGTCCTGGGGGACCAGATATAGTGAATGCAGGGTCCGGGGAGACCAGATATAGTGAATGTAGGGTCCGGGGAGACCAGACATAATGAATGCAGGGTCCGGGGAGAGTGGATATACTGAATGCAGGGTCCGGGGAGAGTGGATATACTGAATGCAGGGTCCGGGGGAGACCAGATATAGTGAATGCAGGGTCCGGGGGAGACCAGATATAGTGAATGCAGGGTCCGGGGAGACCAGATATAGTGAATGCAAGGTCCTGGGGGACCATATATAGTGAATGCAGGGTCGGGGAGATCGGATATAGTGAATGCAGGGTCCGGGGAGACCGGATATAATGAATGCAGGGTCCTGGGAAACCAGATATAGTGAATGCAGGGTCCGGGGAGACCCGATATAGCGAATGCAGGGTCCGGGGAGACTATAGCGAATGCAGGGTCCGGGGGGAGACCGGATATATAACGAATGCAGGGTCCGGAGAGACCGGATATAGCGAATGCAGGGTCCGGGAGAGACCGGATATAGCGAATGCAGGGTCCGGGGAGAGCGGATATAGTGAATGCAGGGTCCGGGGAGAGCGGATATAGTGAATGCAGGGTCCGGGGAGACCCGATATAGTGAATGCAGGGTCCGTGGAGACCCGATATAGTGAATGCAGGGTCCGGGGAGACCAGATATAGTGAATGCAGGGTCCGGGGAGACCAGATATAGTGAATGCAGGGTCCTGGGAGACCAGATATAGTGAATGCAGGGGCCGAGGAGACCAGATATAGAGAATACAGGGTCCTGGGTTTAATAACACTTTAACTTTACTTAATGTCTGGTTATGATAGGGATGTGGTATGGCCTAAGACTTTGCCCACAAATCCAAAGACTATTTTGAATTCGAACTATATAAATACCGGTAATAAAATAAAAACAAAAAGAATATCAATTCATGAAAAAAAAATAAATATCCATTTATGGAAAATACAACTCTTGAAAAGCAATAAAGATAGCCGTGTATGGGAATTGAACATTTCTATCATTTCATAAAATAACGAGTTCATCTTACTGAATCGGCACCCTTGTCAGAGAAGCCATGATGGGAAACCAGAGAAGATACAGGCGCTAAATACAAATGTCTCTATTGCTCCTAACAGATGCATGGGCACACAGTGAATACGTATATTTTCCATACAGGGCGTGCATGTTTATTCCAGCTGCAGTTAAAGAAGCCTGCCTTTAAAAATGTTCTTTAATATGACAAGTGGGACATATGCTGGGGTGATGGGAATATTCTGTGGTTATTATGAAGTTGTACTGATCACAGGGAGCAACGGCACAGCTTCTTAAAAATTCACTGCTGAGGCGCCTCTGCCCCTCCGGAGGCCATGGAAATATGATTTGATATTCTGTGCGACGGGGAGCTAATGGAGAAATTCACAATGACATATGCAATCAGCATGAGAAGGAGATGTAAAAGCAATTTATATGGAGAGTCAGCGATGGGTTTAGCCATGCGCAAGATGTTCTCTATACCTTTAAATAACCTCAAGACTTTACCCGTCAGTTTCTGAGGTGGCTGAATAATTTCAACTGCCACTGCTATTGCAGGGTTTGCAAAGCGATTCCTTGGGGGGCTTTATCAATTATAAACCATGCGGATAACTACTGGGGAATCTGACTGTTCGGGGATGGGATGGGGGAGGTTTGAGGGAGTACATCTCTCAGGAAGGGTCCATTGGCTGCAACTGCCAACATACTAAATGCTAAAAAAGAATCAAATTGACCAGCAAGATTAATGTTCCAACGTTTGTTTGAAAGTACATGTTGCCATTAAGGGCCGTTTCCAATGGTGGTTCACCCCTCCAGTGGCAGCATCCCCAAAATGCAATTGACAAGTTTCTGGAAATCTCTCATTCAGCTTTAAATGCTGCAGAATCAAAAGCTCTAGCAAGGATGGTGGAGCAACACATCTCTAGATCAGGTACTATAGGAGAAGATAGGTTGACGTTCGTCAAACATTATGTTCTCCAGCTTTCACCAGCACCAGAAAAGTGGTAGATAGGCTTTATTCCCACTTAACTACTAAAGAACTTACAGCAAAGAGTGCTAAAAAGAGGAATGCTTGTTATGCATAGCAGCCAATCATCTCGCAGCTGTCATTTCTGCAATGCAGAGTTAAAAGTGAACAAAGAATTGTGATTACTTGCTAAATTTCCTTGCTCACTTTTCATACATATGTGTACATATCCGGACACCTTGCCTGTAGGTATCTGTTCCAGGACCTTACTTTAAAAGTGAACAAAGAATTGTGATTACTTAATAAAATTTCCTTGCTCACTTTTCATACATAAATATGCCCCTTAATTAGCCACCAACTGGGTGCAATTGCTTACATATAATGTGTACATATCCTGACACCTTGCCTGTAGGTATCTGTTCACTTTTAAAGTGAGGTCCTGGAACAAAGAATTGTGATTACTTGCTAAAATTTCCTTGCTCACTTTTCATACATATGTGTACATATCCTGACACCTTGCCTGTGGGTATCTGTTCCAGAACCTCACTTTAAACAAAGGATCACATGTATCAAAAAGGGTACCAAAGGTAAGCTTGTTGTTATACATATATATTAAATTGTATGCCTTAAGGGTTAGAAACTGATGTGAATGTACAATATATGTAAAGCGCTGTCTAAATTGATGGCGCTATAGCGCTATATACACTCAACGGCCACTTTATTAGGCGCACCTGTTCAATTGCTTGGTAACACAGATAGCTAGTCAGCCAATCACATGGCGGCAACTCAGTGCATTTAGGCATGTGGATATGGTGAAGACGACTTGCTGAGATTCAAACCAAGCATCAGAATGGGGAAGAAAGGGGATTTAAGTGACTTTGAATGCAGCATGGTTGTTGGTGCCAGACGGGCTGTTCTGAGTATCTCAAAAACTGCTGATCTACTGGGACTTCCACACACAACCAACTCTAGGGTTTACAGAGAATGGTCCGAAAAAGAGAAAATATCCAGTGATCGGCAGTTGTGTAGAAGAAAATGCCTTGTTGAGGTCAGAGGAGAATAGGCAGGCTGGTTCGAGACGGTGGAAAGGCAACAGTAACTCAAATAACCACTCATAACAACCAAGATATGCAGAATACAATCTCTGAATGCACAACATGTCAAACCTTGAAGCACATAGGCTACATCAGCAGAAGACCACACCAGGTGCCACTCATGTCAGCTAAAAACTGAAAATGGAGGCTACAATTCGCACAGGCTCACCAAGATTGGACAATAGAAGATTGGTAAAACATTGTCTGGTCTGATGAGTCTTGATTTCCCTAGATATGGTTGTGCTTGAAAATCCCAGTAGATCAGCAGTTTTTGAAATACTCACACCAGCCTGTCTGGCACCAATAATCATGCCAGGTTCAAAGTCACTTGAATCCTCTTTCTTCCCCATTCTGATGCTCAGTTTGAAGTTCAGCAAATCACCTTCACCACGTCTAAATGCCTAAGTGCATTGAGTTGCTTCCATGTGATTGGCTGATTAGCAATTTGTGTTACCAAGCAATTGAACAGGTGTACCTAATAAAGTGGCCGGTGACTAAGTACCTATACTAAATTTATTTATTTATTTCAGGTACTTATATAGCACCGTCAATTTACGCAGCTCTTTACATACATATATTGTACATTCACATCAGTCCCTAACCCTCAAGGGGTGTACAATCTAAGGCCCCTAACTCACATTCATACATACACATACTAGGGCCAATTTAGACAGGAGCCAATTAACCTACCAGCATGTCTTTGGAGTGTGGAAGGAAACCGGAGTACCCGGAGGAAACCCACGCAGTCACAGGGAGAACATGCAAACTCCAATCAGGTGGTGCCGGGGTTGGGATTCGAACCAGCGACCCTAGTACTGCCAGGCAGAAGTGCTAACCATGTAGCCACTGTGCTGCCCCATAAATATGGTAGCCAATAGGGTTTTTTCAGAAAGTCATTTGTGCTGTTCAGGTTTAAAAATAAATCAAGGAAGTGGATTGACTGTTACAGAAAAAAGAAATTTCACCTGGAGATCGATAGATAAGGAAGTGGGAAGAAGAAAAAAACCTTAAGACCTTCCATAAAGCCATGCCAGCTATAGGGCGGTTGGCCATGCTACACAGAATGTCCCTACTTGCCGTAAACCAATGAGGCGCACTTCCCAACCGGTTCTACTGATTAGGAGGTTGCATATCCTATCATGCATCATAGTTGCCAACTGTCCCACTCTTTTGTTCCCCTCAATTTGCAAATTGTCCTACAGAATGCATCACTAGATCCAGGTAGCATGAGAATCATGCTTATATGTTTCCTGTCTCTTGAAGTGTCCACCTGGTTTTCCCTTGGAATGCTGGCAAAGAGAAGACTGTGAGGACACCTTTACAATCAAAAATCTTTTTTTTTTTCCCTAAAAGCAATTACTATGTGCCTTTCACGCACAATGAAGCCATTCTGTAACCTAAACAAATATCACAAAATGCATCCCATCCATTCAATACGTAACATTAGCGAAGCATAAAGCGACAAAATCCTTTAACAGATGTGGCCACTCTTACTACGATAGTCTACTTTCCGACACCCCGAGAAAAAACAGTCTGCTAAACGAACAGACCAAAGTCTCATAGTTGCTGGTTCAGTGCCCAAAACGGCCACCACGGAGGTCCGTAGACAATGTGCTTCAAGGGTTAGCCTGAAACGGCTAAAGAATTCAAGAATGGTTCTTGTGCAGACACAATGCCTTCTGGGAATGATCTACGATGCAAGAACCATACTAATTACTAGGAAAATTCTCTGGCTTGCTTCAGACCAACCAAATGTTAGAATGGAGCACTTCCAGCTCCATCTGCTCCCTGGGCTGAGTTCACAAAATAGATCCATATATCTTACATGTGCTAAAATGCTTTCTCCTGAAAAAGAGAGAGAAAGAAAATGTAAACGCTGGTTTCAATCGCCCCAGGCTCAGACTAATTAAGACACGTATAACATATTAGGTTCTGAATTTTCAGATTTTTCACTTTTGTCTCAAGTCACCTAACGTTGCCAAGTCTTTTCTCTGGTTTTCACTTCAGATAATTCACACCTAGCTGAGGCCAAAAAGAGCAACGATAGCCATACAACACAAATCAAACAGTACGATCTACGTAAAGAAATCTGTCACTGACACCAATGATGGGGCATTATTCCTCCCACTGACACCAATGACGGGGCATTGTTCCTCCCATTGACACCAATGACGGGGCATTGTTCCTCCCATTGACACCAATGATGGGGCATTATTCCTCCCATTGACACCAATGATGGGGCATTATTCCTCCCACTGACACCAATGACGGGGCATTATTCCTCCCATTGACACCAATGACGGGGCATTATTCCTCCCATTGACACCAATGACGGGGCATTATTCCTCCCATTGACACCAATGACGGGGCATTATTCCTCCATTGACACCAATGACGGGGCATTATTCCTCCCATTGACACCAATGACGGGGCATTATTCCTCCCATTGACACCAATGACGGGGCATTATTCCTCCCATTGACAACAATGACGTGGCATTATTCCTCCCATTGTTTTGTACTGAGTGTAGGCCTTTTACGTACATCCCAAAGCCTGTCTGAAAAACTCTGAGATGGCATCCTCCCATTATGCCCTGCTGCTTGGACGTTGCTAAGACACTCCCAGATGATTCAATCCCTTTTACTTGGGCTCTAGCCCCCTTTGCAGTAGCTCTGAGCTCATCAATGCAGTG